TCATTTGTTTCCCAGGAGCATGAAAGCAGCCCTGATGTGTGAGATGCTGGTGCCCAAGGGCAGCCTGTTCTTAGCCACAGCACTGGGACAGAGGAGCCAGGTGTGGTGCTGAGCTTCAGGGCGGGTCCCAGATCTCTTGAGACCTCCCCCCTTCTGGACATCTGGGGAAGTTCCGGGGGCTCCCTTAGGGCTCTCCAGGGTGACAACAAGAGGTAGTAGGGAAGAAGCCCATGTTTGAGGGTGAGCCCTCCTTTTACTTCAGCTGAATCCCCTAGCTCTGCTGAGAACTCAGTGTCTCTGCCCCATGAAGGAGGTTCTGTGGCCCTTGAGGATCCATAGCACGGCTACGGCCACTAGGCTGTGAGGACAGTGGCTCTTCTGTTGGGACAGCTGGCCCTCCATTGCTCGAGGGCTCCTTCCGCATTAACAAGGCTTTGTTCCACTCTGATTTATCCACTCTCACAGGGGGATGGTGGTTCTGGGTTGAGCGTCCAACGCTGGAACGACAATCCTTAGGAAACCAGCTCCCAGCTTGGCTTCCAGTAGAAATGCGGAGAACAAACAAGTTTGCCACCAATGGTCCTGAACGCGGCTGTGAAGTTGTCTCGGAAAGGCACTCTGTATTTTTTTCCAAGGCTAAAATACAATAACTCACTTATACCTAGGAAAGGTATGTTTGCAAAAACCAGATTGCCTTTGCCAATAGCAGAGAACAGTGCTCTTTTTCATTTTTAAACTATCCTTTCTGTGCAAAAACCCTGCAAAAGTTTGGATGTGTGTTTATTAGCCTGGGACTGGAAGAACAAAGCCACCTTGTTGGCGGCAGGCAAATGAAACCCACAGGGGCTGGCTTCAGGCACGGCTCATTGTGCAGGGTTTAAGGGCATTGCTTTGCAAATAATAAACCACTTACCCAGTACGGCCACTAGAGGCCACTAAAATGACTTACAACCAAGGCACAAGGCTGGTAGCTGTCTTAGTTGGCGGCAGGACAGAAATAAGTCAACTGTGATGTACTCCAGGTTTAATAGCAGTGAAAACACCAGCCATCCCCAGCCGCTGACTGCCCCTAGAATTTGTACCCATAACTTTGACCATCTGGGGCTCAGAGGAAGCGGGAGGAAGAGAAGGTGGCAGAGAGGCAGCAGAGCTACCTGGGATATTCCCTGCAAACCTGTGCCTGTCATGGGGAAAGGCCAGCTGTGCACCAGTCTCTCTCAGCCCTTGTGTTATACAGGTCCGTGAGGATCAGCACCCAGGGCAGAAGCAGTACCCAGTCCTGAGGCCACAGAGCTAGGGGGTGACTACCCTTGGCTACTTTTTGTCCCTACTGTGGCGCCCAAGCCTAGCTGTATCACCTGTGAAGCCAGAACAAAGGCACTAATAACCACACCCACCTCAATCTAAACCACATCAAACACAAAAATCAGTTATTGCAGCAAATGTTGTAGCCAGCCACCTTGTCAAAAGACCCTTCTTCATGACTTAGGGAGACCAGATTTATAGTGGTAAATTCTCCAACTCCTGGGAATCTCTCCCAAACGTGACAGCTTGGGGACAGCTGCCTCCTCTTCTCCTGTCCCTGCCCCATCCAGCTCCTCTGGGACCCTGCACGGCTGCGCAGCCTCCCATCCTGCAAGTCCTACCTCTGTTTCCACGTCCTGCCAAAATGCTGGCCACACAGCCTGCCCTGGAGGAGGGATGCTGGGAAGAGCCCCTCACCGGATGTTGGGGTCCTTTGTGCAGGGAATTTGGGGGCCCAAGTGCCCCAGGAATGCTCTAGAAGGGGGTACTCGTTCTACATAGTCATGTGCCTTTGGAAGGGGGGCCATTTCTGTGGTCATCAGGTGTCCTGAAGACAATCCAGGATGCTTATTCTTTGAGTTATTTATTTAGTGTGTGTCAGGGTTACCCATTAGTGAGCTAAGGCAAAATGCAAACCTACAAAGCACGTGTATGTACCTGACATTTGCCACCAAATAATAGTGCTGTTTCTTTGAGGGCAGAAGTCTTTGGGATTTATGGATTTATAGTACTGGAAGAAAACCATGAACTAAATTTATAGATTTACAGTTCTCTTGTTGCTGTTTTATTTTGTTTGTTTGTTTTCAGACAGGGTCTTGCTATGAAGTTCAGGCTGGCTTTGAACTCATGGAGCTCCTCCTGCCTCAGCTTCCTGAGTGCCGGGATTACAGGCATGTGCCAGTACGCCCACTCCAGGGTAAACTGAGGTGCTGGAGCCTTCAAGGGGAGGTGATGAGGGTACCTGCCTTGCAGGACATGGGAGTGGTTTGAGGAGGAAATCTGCGCAAAGGGCTCAGCCCAGCGCCCAGCAGAGATCTCTCAGTACGCATGGCCTGTCGTCATAACAAAAGCGCAGGCTTGGACACCACCAGCCACTCCTCTATTCTGGCTCTGCCGCTTCCGGCACTCTATCTACCTTCCCTGAACCTGGGTTTCCACATACACAAACAGGCAATAGGAGACTTCCTGGAGTTGTGAGGATGCTTACAGAGGGCTCAAGTTCGTGGAAGGGCAGGCCGGACCTTCAACCAATTGGGGTGCTGCCTGTGTCACTACTATGAGCATTGTTCTACATGCTGGGGACACCAGGGGCCCAGGTTCCTGCCCTCAGGGAGCTCAAGTCCTAGTCTGGGCAGGTAAACAGCAAACACATAGACAAGCAAGATGTGGCTTTCGAAGGGGGGCCATTTCTGTGGTCATCAGGAACTGCTGTTATGTCAGAGCGCAGTATGTGCCAAGCAGAAGACAACGCAGGGCAGTGCTCTGGGACTGACTCATAGAACTGACATAGAACTGGGACCCAGGGACACCTGCAGAGATGTGGGAGAAGGGCTTTTATTTATTTTCTTGTTACTGAGGATTAAACCCAGGGCCTTTGCTATACCTCCAGTCCTTTTCATTTTGACACAGGGTCTTGCTAAGCTGCGCAGGTTGGGCTCAAACTTGTGATTCTCCTGCCTCAGCTACCCAGAGTTTTAGGGTCACAGGTGTACACCACCACGACCGGCTCCATCTTTATTTAATGCATACCCACAGTATCTGTACTGTACCTGGCACTTCGCGTGTACTCAATAATTGTTTGTGGAAGCAAAGACGTGAAGGGGCGGTGGAAGAAGGAAAGGTAAGCTGTGTTATGCGCAGCAGAGGAGAAGGTACCGGGGATTGAACCTGGTTCTCCAGAGTCCCAGGCTTCTCGTGAGCTCTGGCCTGGTCTCCCGGTCACCTTGCATCAACCCGCTGGGGTGCACGACTGGCTTGTTTTATGCTGTCTCCACCAAAGCGCTGTGTGCTACATGCTGGAGAGCCCTGCCTGTCACAGCCTATGTTCCAAAGAAATGTCACATTCACCCCGAGGCCACGGAAGGTCATTCAGAGGCCAAGTCCCAGTGGGAATTTTTTTGTTTGTTTTTGTGTTACTGAGGATTGAACTCAGGCCCTTCTCAATGGGCTATATCCTCCACCTTTTTTCTTACTTTTGAGACAGGGCCTCACTAAGTTACTAGGTAGCCCTGGCTGGGCTCAATCTTAGAATCTTCCTGCCTCAGCCTCCCAGACTGCTGGGATTACAGCCACCGTGCCTAGCTCCAGTGGGGATTTTGTGCATGTGCAAGTGTTGGGGGAGGTAACATTTTATTGGCCCGGTGAAGCCTGCTAATTGGAATCCCGGCTGAAGGAAAGTGTACCAAAAGTGCCACAGCGGACACATCTGGAGCTATACCAGCACAGAGAATGACCAAGCATCAGTGGCTTAGGAGGGACCTGGGACTGCTCTGCAGAAGGAAGAGGCCTCTGAGCAAAGCGATTATGACAACTGGACAAAGCAACTGTCACTCTGCTGCAGGTGCCACCTCAGGATAAGGACCAGGGTTTGAGTGACACCAGCAACCGTTTCCCAACCTGTTTTCCAGAGCTGGCTAACCAACGCCTTACAGCCAGGTTCTTAGCTTTCTCCTCGGGGCCATTTTAGCTAAACATGGTACCCTAGCTTGTTTGGGGGCGATCACAAACTACCACAGGCTGTGCAGCTTATAAACAACAGACATTTATTTCTCACAGTTCTGGAGGCTGCGAGTCGGCAAGCAGGCACCAGCACAGCTGGTGAGGATCCCCTGCTGGTTCGAAAATGGCCAGCTTCCTGCCACGTCTGCCCCTGGTTCTCTGGATTCTGAGGACACTGATGCCATTCGGGAGGGCACCGGAGTCACATCCCAGAGGCCTCACGTCAAAATACCATCACACGGGGGTCGGGGAGGGGGACACTCAAACATTGTCTATCGCATGTAAATGTATTTGTTCTCCTATGAAATCCCAAGGTTGCTGAACCTAGTAGATGAAGAGAGACTTCCCACTCCCATGGAGAATGGTTTGAACTGGAACTGGAACTGGAACTTGAACTTGAATTTGAACTTGAATCTCTGCTGATGAGCTGTTGTCTCTTGGGAGGGAGGAGAGGGCTCGTGGTCTTCCGGTGTAGGTTGGAGAAAGACCGGTATAAGCATCCTTACAGGTGGAGGCCGCAAGTCTTCACATCTCCTCTGGAGGGTTTCAGCTGGCAGCCTTGGAGCCTGAGTTGGCCACCTCCTCCCCATACACACCTCCGCCCTAGGCAGGCTCTGCTAGGGAACCAACCCTCCATCCTGTCTGGGCTTCTCCACTCTGCTGATTCTAAACTCTGAGATCTAGGTCCCAGCGGGCACCCAAGGTCCCAGACACGGAGCAGGCTCTGTCCCGCTCACTGATGGCGGCCGATGCTTTTCTACTTTCAGCATTTCCCTCTAACAGAGGCACCGCTGGTGGGGATAGGACAGCAAGGAACAAGCAGAAGAGGGGGCTCAGTCATCCTCGTCCTCGTCCTCATCCTCGGCGTCTTTGTTGGGGGTGCACCTCTGGAAGCACTGCACCACGGTGGCCAGGAAGAAGCTGGAGATGATGGCGGCGATGGAGACAGCCACGCCCGAGAAGATGATGATGAACAGGTCCGTGAGCGACAGGCTGAACTTGCACTCGCTGAAGCTGGCCTCGGATAGCTCGCGCAGGGCCACCCTCCGGCTCTCGGTGGGCAGGGAACACTGGATCCCGTCCAGGCCTGTGGGGTGAGGGTGGAACAAGACAGGTTTAAGACAGTCTGGCTCATGACTGTCCAGCAGTTCCTGAGGCAAGTGCCTCCCCTGGGTAGCAGAGCAGGAGATATCCCAAAAGAAAAGGGGGAAAGTTGGTCTGAGTAGAATTTAAACACTTTGTCTTGCGATTTTTTACTTGGTGGCACTGAGGACCAAATCCAGGGCCTCTCACATGTTAAGCAAGTGCTGTGCAACTTGAGCTACATCCCCAGGTCTGAAATCTTTTTTTCAAAAGCCTCAGAGAAATCTGCATAGGAAAAATCAGAACGTGCTGATCTTGACCTACTTTTTTTTTCAATACTGGCAACTGAACCCAGGACCTTTGCAGTGAGCTACACCTTTTACCCTTTTTTTTTTTTTTTTTTTTTTAAAGACAGGGTGTCACTAAATCATGAAGTTACCCTGGCTGGGCTCAAATTTACAATCCTCATGCCTCAGCCTCCCAGAGTGCTGGGATTACAGGTGTGTACCACCATGCCCGGCTAAGACTTACTGTTTTGATCTGAAATTACTCAGGGCAGGGAAAGAAGAGCACCGTACCCTGCCTAGGGTTTAGGAATCTTTATAGACTTCACTCCAGACATGGGTAACAGCCAAGAGGGTGGGACAGAGAGGTGACAGCAGATGTCATGGTGGGACACCAAGCAGTGCCAACCAATGAGAGGACCCTCCAGTCTGCGGTGCAGTTTCCCCAGCTGGGTGCCGCCCTCCCCTTCCCTGTCCTCAGGAAAGAAAGGAATAGGGGATTTGCATAGCACTGCAGAAATCCCAGCCTTAGGTTGTAGGGTACCTGCAGTAGAAGGAAGGAACAGGAGATGTGAGGACACCATTTTGACTTTAAGCTCACTTGCCTTCCACTGTGACTTCCTCGGGCTTCCTTCCACCTCACAGGCAAACTTTCACTTGCTCTCTTTTTCAGTGTTCCCGGTTTGAAAGAGCTAGCCCTCAACCCACCTCCAGCGTTATCTGAAAGTCGAGATGACCTCTTCCCACCTTGCTGATGAGTCAGCCGGCTCTCAGCACTGAGGATGCCCCAGCATCCCCACGATCCTTGGGGTTTGCGTGTGTCTGTCCTTCTCCAGCTCAACAGCAGAAGACAGAGGAAGGGTGTCTGAGTTTCCTTGTTCCTTCTGTCCTGGCCCATGGCTTACGTGGTGCACAGCCAACCCCGATGCTTTCCTCCCCATGGGAACTGTTGCCTGGCAACCAGACTCCTCACTCTCCTCTCCCTGAATCAGGACCGCTGTATAGACCCAAGTACCTAGATGGACCAGAGCTCTGAGGGCTTCCTCAGTTCACATCCAACCACTGTTTGTGATGTTTCTTTTTCTTAAGGAGGCCCGACTTCTTACTTCTGAGCGCTTTAAGTGCATGTGAGTAAATCAGGAATGCTTTCATTAAGAGTTACATGGGGGCTTCCCTGCCAATAATTGATTTCTTCAATGGAAAAGCAGAAAAACAAACCAACCTGCCTCTTCTTAACAGCTCACCCCCAGCCACCATCTCATGAAAACAACAGGAGGCATGAAATCCAGGTAGTTTCTAAAGCCAAGAGATGACCTGCAACCCTCAGGCTAGTAACAGGTCATGGTTTAGCCAGAAAAACATGCTAGAAGTCCTCATCTTCCATAAGCAATATGAACTTGAAAACAACCACTACACACATCACAAGGCCACGGTGTTGCCATTTAAATCCAGCCCTTGCTGGCTGCGACTCCTTCAGTCAATTTTGATTTCCACAATGCTCTTTGTGCCTTGAGATTAGTCTTGGCATTTTTACAAAGCGACGACTTTAGAAAATGTCATCTCACATTTCTCTGTGGCTGGAAGAAAAGGGCTTGTTTGGAAAATGCCACACACAAGCCCACCGGGGGTGGGGGACTGCAGGCCCATGCTGGGTGCACCTATCGTGATAAGATCCAGTGACTTAAGGGCTTTCTGCAGCTCACAAAGGACAGGGAAATGAGAGGACTGGGACAAAGAACCAGGCAGCCAGGCAGCCTTGCAGGAGGGAGGTTGCAAAAGCACCTGAGCCTACAGACCTCTGGAGTTGGGGTGTCTGACTTTGAGGTCCTTTCTTCTCTCCTGCAGAATCTTACTGTGGACCAGGGTTTCTCAGTCTCAGCACTGTGGATGCTAGGACTCATGCTTCCTGGTTGTGGGGTGCTGTCCCATCCCCTGGAGGAGGATTTTTGGGTTTTGGGTTTTTTTGCGGGGGTGGGGGGCTGTTTTGTTTTGTTTTTGGGTTTTTTGAGACAGGGTCTTGCTATATAGTTTAGGCTGGCCTTAAACTCACTATGTAGCCTTGGCTGGCCTCAAACTTGCAGCAATTCTCCTGCCTCAGCCTCCCAAGTGCTAGGATTACAGGCGTGTACCAGGCAGGATGCTGATGAGCATCTGTGACCTTTACCCACCAGCCGCCAGGGCACCCCCTGCCCAGTGTAGCAGTTGTCACTGTCTCTAGGTCTGTCAGCACCTCCTGGGGGCGGGAGATGGTCTGGGGGCACAGAGAACCACTAGTTTAAGCTCAAACGCTATGCTAAGGAGGTAGTCCTTGTGGATGAAATTTTTTTTCTTTTTGGTGATACTGGGGATTGAATCCAGGGCCTCCACACCAAGCTCTATCCCCAGCTCATTTTTTATTTTTTATTTTGAGTCAGGGTCTCATTAAGTTGCTAAGATGTTTGAACGTGTGATCCTCCTGCCTCAGCATCCCTGGGTACTAGGATTATAGGCATGTGCCACCATGCACAACAGATTTCTCAGTACTCTACAATGAGCAACAGTTCCCTTCCTGGGTGTAGAACTGAATGAATGAATGAATGAATGAATGAATGAATGAATGAATGAATGAGTGAATGAATGAAGAGAAGTGTGGGGTAAGAAAAAGCAGGCATGCTGCCAGCCTCTTTACTGATAAGACCACAGGGCCCCTGAGCTGCCTTCCTGCTTCTACCTTCTGGGGCCCCAGGCTGAATGGATTTTTATAGATTGTATTAGGGGCAGAACACCTGACGTACACAATTTAAAGGAACAGAGGATTTTTTGGCTTGTGGTTTCAGAGGTTTAGTCCATGGCAAGCTGGCTCAGAGGTAAGAACATCATGACGGAAGGCCATGGTATAGGAAAGCTGCTCACACTGGCATCCAGGAAGCAGACGGTGAGAAAGAGCCAGAGAGGCAGAGTCCAGGGACCAGCTGTAGTTCCCAAGGTCACACTCCATGACTCACCCAAACTCACCCAGATATGCCTCCTACTCTCCTAGGCATCTCTCAAAATAATCAAGCTGACAATCAAGATTTACCATCATACAGAGAAACCTATAGCCCACCACACTGCTCAACACCCCATGCCCTATGCTCCCATCTTTCAAAATTAAATTCCCAGTCCTCACTAGCCCCTCCACCCCTCCACTCTACATTGCTGCCTTTCCTCAAACTCCTCCCCAGAAGCCTACCTCGGGGCCTTTGCACCTGTCCCCTTTGCCTGGCCCCCTCACCTTCTTCAGCTCTCTGTTCAGATGTTTCCTTCCCCCAGAAACCTCCATTCTCCAGCTAAAGCAGCATTTCTCTCTTCCTCTGCCACCATTCTCTAACTCTGCCCCCAACCTGGCTGTACTTGTCTCCCTGGACATCCCCTGACATGCCATGCATGTACTGGTTTATTTTCTGTGTCCCTGCCTTCCCCATCACACAGCAACACTGCGGGGTCAGGCTGCTTCCTTTGGGGCTGTATTCCTGCACTCAGAGTGTGCAGACAATACTTGTGAAGGAATGTGCAGACTGCAGAATTTGAGATGCATAGGCACCGGAGGCTTCCCAAACCAGCTTCCCTAACAGTCAGGCCCACCTCCCAATGGCCCAGGGCTGGACAAGGCCCTCCACTGCAGGATAGAAGTCCTGTCCTCCAAATTCGCCAGCAAATAGCTCTTCACTCCCTGGGAAAAAGAGAAGTTGCACACATTTCTCCCTCATGGGAGGCAGAAATTCTCATCACTCTCTGGAATTAGGCAGAGTGAGCTTAACCAGGCTAACGCCTCTCACAGCCATCCCATGGGCCAGGGAGTCTTTTAAGCACTCTCTACTGGCCCAGTTCCTTTAACTCATAAAACAAACTGCAGCTACAGTGATCCTGGCTCACAAATAAAGAAACCAAACAGGTATGTCTCATGCTTAATGTTTCCCTCTATGAACGGCAGCGCCAAGAGCTAGAATCAGGCGATCTGTCCCTGGGCTGGTACAATTAGCCATTTCATCCCTCACTGCCTTAAAAATGCTTGCTCAAATGACTGCTGGGATAGCAAGACCCAGAGGGTCACAGAATCACACAAAACTGCACAGGAGACTTGTACCCATGCCACCTCCAGGGGCAGCCTGAGCCCAGGGCACTCAGAGGCAAGAGCATGACGAGATCATTCTAAACGCTTTGGGTGCTATATTCCTAAGAGCTGCCCGAACAAACCACACACTGGTTAGATTCAAACAAACGTATTGCCCCTTGGTTCTGGAGGCCAGAATTCTGCACTCAGAACCAAGGTGTCAGCAGCTCTCAGCTCCCTCGCAAGCCTCCAAGGGAGAAGTCTGCACTCCTCTTCTGGCTTCTGGGGGCTCTGGAAGTTCCCTGCCTTGTGGCGGCAACACTTCGGGCTCTGTCCACCTTCCCATGACCTTTTGCTCTGCTGCTGCTGCTGCAAATCTCGCCCTGCTTTTCTCAGAAGGACACCTGTCCCTGGATCTAGGCAGTCCTCCTTCAACCCAGGATGACCTTCTTACCGATCCTCAATGTTAATTACATCTGCAGAGACTCTTTCCAAATGAAATCCCCTTCACAGGTGCCGGACGGTATGACTTGGGCATGTCTTTCAGGGGGACACACTCACTCCACTACCAGTGGCATCATGTGATGGTTCCCGTTGCCCATGGACTGCTCCTGGGTTTCTTTAGGCTGACGACCTCTCATCCTTTGG